GAACCCGCCTGGGTTTTTTTGTTGTGTTTCTTTGTTGGCTTGCAATCATGCTTGAATGGGATTTAGAGTTTTGTGTTGCTTCTGATTGCTTGAATTTCCAGATCTAGTTACTGTCGATGTTGATTGAAGGAATGTTGTGTTTTCTTTACAGATCTGATATACATTTGTAGAGGAATTGATTTTTGAATTAGATCTATTGGTCATTATTATTATTCTGCGAGGAACCAGATTTGAGTTCTATTAGAGAGGAGGTTTGAGGAAGAAGTAGATGGTGATTGGAGTGGTAGTAGATGATTGGAGCAATGAGGGATGACCGGAGTAATGAGGGATGATCGGTGTTGATTGGGTTGCAAGATGAGAAGATATCTGAGGATAGAGAGAGACGAGAGGTGAGGGAAGATGAAGACAGGGGTATTTAAGGAATTTTAAAATTTTTAATATATAAATTAATTAAAATGACGTGGACTAAGTTATTTTCCACGTAATTAAATATTTCAAACAAAAATTGATTTCGTGGCAACTTAACGTGCCATCTGGCACTTCCGTCGACGAAAGGATGAAATTGGTCTCAAAATTTGAAGTTCAAGGATTTTTTTAGTACTTTTTGAAGTTTGAGGGTAGTTTTAGTTCAAAAATAAAAGTTGAGAGACTGAATTGGGGATATAACCTTTATAAAATAATAATTCAAACTCATAGGCAAGGTTATAATTATATACAAAATGAGTGTGGTCATACAAAAATTTTTTTTTTTAAATATTTTGTCATGGGGTTGGCTTGAACTGTTGCCTTAGGGGGGAATATGAACCTTACAAGTGTGGTTAGAGCTACTTGACCCGAAGAGTCAGGTTCGGTCATACAAAATTTTTAATATTATCTTAAGATGAGTAATATATTATTCCAAAATAACACAACTAAATGTTAAAAAGAAAAACTAAGATAATGTATCTATATTTTTTTATGTGTGTGATAATAATTACACATATTATAATATTACACTTTCACAAATCACAAGACAAATATCATAATCAGAAATGACAAATACATGATGGCATAATGCTATAATGTCTACTTACGCGTGTTACCAAATACATTTTCCAGAGGAATAAGCCTCCAAATCTCACACCATTACTTACTTTGATTTTTCAGATCAATTGATACATTGTCAATTTGAGATATATATATTTTTTTTATAAATGAGTTTCAAATCTATCGCATGACAATTTGTTAAAAAAAAAAAAAAAATCTCACACCATTGCTTAGATATCCACAAACTATCCCAAACGAAAAAATCCAATATCGCAAAGTTTAGGGACTAGGATCGGGACCACTTTCACCCACCAGTCACTCCATGACCACGCACATGTGAATGGCAGACATGATCAGAATACACACATGTGAAATTTCACCTCATAAATTACTCGAATTTCCATATAATCCTCGTACAAGACACTAGAAAAATTATATTTAGACATTGCATATTTGACATTGTTAAAATAATTAGTGTCAAATAAAATTTTTTAATATTATCAAATGGTGTTAAATATTATATGATAAAAATAATATATTTAATCAAATCACTTAATGTAATTATTATTTTGATATTGTAGTGCAGTGTCAAATAATTTTTTTTTGGGCTGCACTGCAGTGTCAAATAATTACTTACTAATGCATAATTTTTTGAGTTAAATTTATTAAATAATGCATTACAGTATTAAAATAATGGTATTCTTTATAATCATTTTTGATACTATAGTGTGACATTAGATACAAGAATAATAAAAAAATAATACATTTATTCTTGCCATTTTATTTTATTTTTTTGAACATTTTATTTTATTTTATTTTATTTTTTTGAACATTTTATTTTATTTTATTTTATTTTTTTGAACATTTTATTTTATTTTATTTTATTTTTTTGAACATTTGGGCAAGGGATGGTTCGAAACCGCCTAGGGGAGGGAGAAACGCACCCGTACTGGTTAATGCCAGTGGACCTCAAGGGCCGGGTGCATTCTTGCCATTTTATTTGACATTGAACTTGTGGCTGAAAAATATGAAGAAAAGCTGCACCAATTTCTTATGGGATTAAATGATGAGCAGTGCTAGGGGCACTTGCCTCTTGCACTCTCCGGCCAACACTGCCCCTTTCATTGGGCCACGTAAGCTTTTTTCAGGCTTTGAGTGAACCTCTCACCGACCAGAATAACGTGGCCCAATAAAAGTGAAAGTGTGGCCGGAGAGTGCAGAAGGCGAGTGTCCCTAGCACTCCTCTTAAATGATTGTTACAGCATTATTCAGTCACAAATTCTAAACATGGATCTGCTGTTAGGATTGAACAGGGCATATGCTTTGGTTACTCGAGAAGAGAAACAACCAGCACTGATGGTGAGTCGTGGCCCTTTGATTGAATTAGTTGCTTTTATTGTGAAAAATTCAAATATCCGAGGAGACAACATGAACAAATCTCAAGATCAACCACCAAAATGGAAGAAGGGTGCTAAGATGAATAGAATCCAAGATCAATCCACAACTTGGAAAATTGGTACTAAACCAAGGTGTGACCATTCTAAGAAGGTTGGCCATACAAAGGATAAATGCTTTGAGTTAATTGGATATCCAGCAAGTTGGCAAAACAGGGGGAGTTCTTCCAAGGAACATCATGTATTTTCTAATGTAGCAAATAATGCTGCCATGGTTGATAATGCTATAATGGATCAATCTAATGCTTCTCCATTAAACCTGAGCTCATCAATGTCTTCAGTCATAGGGTTAACTCTTGAACAATATGACTAGTTAATGTCTTACTCTCTAAACAACCCAGTGTGTCAAATTTTGTTGGTAAGAGCTCCCAAAATCCTTTTAATAGTTTCTTTTGGATTATTGATAATGGTGCTTCAAATCATATGACTTGTCACAAAAATCTTTTGCTCAATCCTAATTCTTCTCAGTTTTTTCAGTCGATTCAATTACCAAATGGTTCCAACCTCATTGTTGATTGTAGTGGGGATCTTCAATTCTCTCCCACATCCTTTTAAATAATGTTCTTTATATTCCCTCATTCACTTGTAACCTTTTTTTTGTTAGTCAGTTAACTAAAGCTCTTAATTTTGTGGTAATCTTCTTTTCTAACTTTTGTGTTTTACACAACGTTTTAAGAACCGACTCGGTGCTCCACCCGTTTTGGACATCAAGTCTGGTTCAATCGATTGAATTGATTCAATTGATTGGTTCAATCGATCATGGAAAAAATGACATTTTTAAATGTTTAAGAAGTAAGAAGTAAGACTTAATGTTAAATCATATAGTAATTATATAAATATTAAATCACTAAACTCTATAATTTTTATTGCTAACATTTCAATTTTTTTAATTTATTCATAATTAAAAATTGAATGCAATAATTAGTAATTTTATAAAAATTAGATAAAAATTTTAATTTAAATCTTTTAACATTAAACAATTTATATAAAAAATAAAAAGAAAATGAAAGAACAATATCATTAAATTAAATTTCATTTAATATTTAAACACTTAAAATTTTGAATCTTATCAAATCATTATCATTATTATTTATGATTTTATTAAATAAAAAATTTAAAATTTTAGAAATAAAAACTTAATTTAATTTAGTAATATGATTCATGATTTGAGTTTAAAGGTATTTGCTTTAATTTTTTATCTTATTTTTAAAATTAACTAATTTATAAATTTTATTTTATGAAAATATTTTTCTAACATGTTCTTTTATATTTAATGTGGATTTTAATAATTAATTCTTATAAAAAAAATAAAGATTAATTTTAATTTATTAAGAATTTGTTTAATTTATTCCATAAAAGTATAAGTTAAACTTCATTAAATGTAAAATTTTTAATTAATTTTACACAAATTTTTATATCAAATTCTTATATTTTTACAAATTGTGATTATAACTATTATGTTATATTTCAATTTTACATTTTTTATTTTATTTTATTTAAATATGATATAAAAATTTATATAAAATTAATTAAAGATACTATATTTAATAAAATTTTACCTATATCCTAAGAGCACATTAAAAAAATTTATTTATTAAATATACAATTAAAATCATTTATATGATACTGACTTAAAAAATAATTAATTGTTAAAAATTACATAAATGCATACTTCACTTCACTTCACTTCAATACATAAAATTTTATGTAAAACTTACAATAGTAGTGGTGGTAGCCCAATGGTGATACATAAAATTTTATGTAAAACTTACAATAGTAGTGTTGGTAGCCCAATGGTGAAAACATACACAAATTGTGTAAAACTTATAATAGTAGTGTTGGTGGTTCAATGGTGAAAACACACATTTGTATGTTGAGGGAGTGGGGTTTAAATTCCCTTGTACACAACCTTGTGAAAAGTTTTCAAAATTTGTGAACTAGATAGTTCATTGATTCAAAAGCCAACAAGTTTAATTGGTTTTCTTAAGTTTTAACCAAGTTTGACTCACTTTGACCGAGTCTTACTATAAACTGGATTTATGTTATGACTCGAATCAATTTTATAACTGATTTCGATTCAATTGATTAGATCGACCGATTTAGTCCAAGTTTTAAAACAGTGGTTTTACAGGACCTCAAAACAAAGAAATTGATTAAAATGGGTGAGATAAAAGATGGATTATACCATTTCAAGGAATTGAAGGTACTCATCCTAGCAACTAGCGTTGTCTGCGAATCTCTTGACGTATGGCATCAACGTTTGGGTCACCCCTCTATCAGTTGTTTGTCTTTAGTTCCTAAACTTTTTGTTTATCTTATAATTCATTAAATAAGTGTTGTTATATTTGTCATCGTGCCAAACAGACAAGAAATGTTTTTCCTTTATGTTTCAATAAATCAGTCTCTCCTTTTGCTTGATTACATCTTGATGTTTGTGGTCCATACAAAACTCCTTCCTTTTCAGGAGTACAATATTTTTTTACGATTGTGGATGATTATAGCCGTTGCACTTGGATTTATTTGATAAAACACAAATTTGATATTTTTCACTATTTTTCAATTTTCATGCCATGTTTAAGACTCAATTTAATTGCACTATTAAGCAAGCGAAGAGTGATAATGCATTAGAATTCACCTCAGGTCGCATGTTAAGTTTCTTTCATACAAATGGCATTTTACATCAAATCTCTTGTGTATATTCTCCTCAACAAAATTGGGTTGTTGAGCGTAAACACCGCCACTTATTGGAGGTTGTAAGAGCTTTACGCTTCCAAGCTCAATTACCCATTAAATTTTGGGGGGATCGGCTTACCTCATTAATTATACCCCAACACCAAAGCTTTCAGGTAAAACACCATATGAACTTTTATTTTCCGAACCACCATATTATGAGCATTTGAGAGTTTTTGGTTGTCTTTGCTACGTGCATAATCAAGGCCTACCTAAAGACAAGTTTGCTCGTCGCTCCATCCCTTGTATATTTGTTGGCTAGGAAAATGATGTATGCACACCCGGATCCAACACCCGGGT